AGATCCACTTGCCTCTATATCCTGAGTACTGGGATTAAAGGAGTGTGCCACCACTGCCTGCTTTCTAGTTCCTGTTTTTTTTTTTTTAAGTGAATTTTAAAAAGTTTTCTTAAATGTATATATTGTATGTTGAGCATTTTCTGCTTCTTGTCCTTATCCTTTTCCTCTCCCCTTCTGCCTGTTTTTAGTCTCTCCTGCCCCCTAGACAGTTGGACTTCAGCTTTTGTGTTTGTGTGTGTGTGTGTGTGTGTGATTTTATATAGCTACATAAAATTTAGGGATCACAAATAAGAGAAAACATAATCCTTCTCTGAGAGTGACTTAATTCACTAAAATGATTATATCTGATTGCATTCATTTTCCAGTAAATAATGTGGTTTTATTTTCTGTTTGACAGTCCTGGTTTTTAGGAGACCTCTTGAGCAGATCCAAAAAAAAAAGGCGTTTTGTCACCTGCCAGCTCTGCACTGGCCTCGCTCAAAGCCTTCCTGCAGTTGGCCCTCAGCTCAGGTGCCATAGGAGGGATACCCTAGGGAAATGATGGGTCTCCCTCTGGACTGAGCCTGTAGGGCTGGGCCCTGGGCAGGTCATTGGGATGGAAATGCAGACCTTCTGTCCTGTAGGGGTGACTACATCCTAGCTTTAAAAAATTTACTTTTGGGTTAAGAGTACTCACTGTTCTTCCAGAGGACCCTGGTTCAATTCCCAGCACCCACATGACAGCTCACAACTGTCTGGGCTCTGACACCCTTACATGGACATACATGCAGGCAAAACACCAATAAACATAAAATAAAAAATAAAAATTAATAAATCATAAGTAAAAGCAGGGCAGTCGGCAGGTAGATCCCTGTGAGTTTGAAGCTAGTCTAGTCTACAAAGCTAGTTCCAGACAGCCAAGGCTACACAGAGAAACCCATCTTGAAAAAACAAAACAAAGATTTACATATATATATATATTTCTTTTTTTAAATTACTTTATGTGTGTGGGTGTATGTATGCATGGGCACCACATGCATTCCTGGTCCCACAGAGGCCAGAAGAGAGTACTGGATCTCCTGTAACTGGAGTTACAGTTGTGAGTTGCCATGTGGGTACTAGGATTTGAACCCTGGTCCTCTGGAAAAACAGCCAGTGCTCATAACTGCTCAGCCATCTCTCCAGGCCCTGTTTATTTATCCATATGTATATGAGTGTTCTGTCTGCATGTATGTATGTGTACTGTGTTCATGTCTAATGTTCACAGACATAAAAAAAGAAATCCAAAACTGGAACCAGAATTCTGGACAGTTGTGAGCTGCTATGTGGGTTCCAGGAACCAATGTTGGGTCCTCTGCAAGAGCAGTAATGTTGACAGAGGTTTCTGTCCCACCCAGTCCCACAGCTGTTCAGTCCCAAAGAAGACACACAGAGGTTTACATTAATCATAAACTGGTTGGCCTATTAGCTCAGGCTTCTTATTAACTCTTATAACTTACATTAACCCATAATTCTTATCTGTGTTAGCCACGTGGCTTGGTACCTTTTATCAGTGAGGCATTCTCATCTTGCTTCCTCTTAGTCTGGGTGACAACTACAGACTCAGCCTTTCCTCTTCCCAGAATTCTACTGTTCTCATCACCCCGCCTATAATTCCTGCCTGGCTACTGGCCAATCAGCGTTTTATTAAAGCAGTACAGTATAAGTGACAGGGTACAAGACCATTGTCCCACAACATAGTAAGTGCTCTTAACTGCTGAACCATCTCTCTAGCCTGCCCCAACATAGCTTTTGTTGGTACTGACCAACTGACTAGGCAGTGTGTCTAGCTGTAGTCAGTTCTTCATGGAGCTATCAGAGATCCATGTACAGATGGAACCAGAAAGGACCAGTGTCACAGTGTGAGTTGTATGTGGCTGAACCTTGTTCTGAGTTATCACTCTAGGCCCACTATGGAGACTGAGGGTCCCACTGTTGATTGGATCTGAGACTAGGAGCTCCTTCCCGGTCTCTGAGCAGTCTTGTCCTCTGGCCCTGTCCACTAATCACAGTGCACTCATTAGGTGCTGGGCCAGGAAGACCTGAGAACCTTTTATACTAGAAACATCCTGTGTCCCTGTGCTCTGAGCTCCTCTGGGAAGTGTCTGGGTAGATTTTCACACATGCTTCCATCAGCATGCTGACCCTTTCATCTGAGGCCTTATGTCATATATCATATCATACCCCCATTTCAGAGTGTGCAGATAATATATTCATAAAAGTGTATAACTCTCTCCAATTCCAGGACATTTCATTACCCCCCAAAGAAGCCTTTTACCCCTTACTAGTCATGCCTCAATCACCTCAGTTCCTGTTGACCTCTACCCTGGATCATGTCTCTGAAGATTTGCCTGTTGTATTACATGAAAATGGAATCATTCACTATGTAGTTGAGACTTTTCTTAGCTTATTGAAATGCCTAGTCCTTAATTCTCCTTCCTTGGAGTGGCTGTTGTGTCTCTGAGCTGGTCCCAACCTCTAGGCTCAGGTGTAGTCTTCCTGACTACAGGCATTCTAGCTTCTTCCGTCTTCAATATTTACTGTACCTTCCTGTAGACTTCAAGTGGTGCCCATGACCAGCTCCATGCCATCCTGTTTACCTTTTCTGTATCTCTCTTCTCACGGCATGTTTCCTGTCATCCTGCTTGCTTCTGTCTGAGTTCAGAGAGGTGTGTGTGATCCTTGCTGTTGTGCCTACAAACCTGGCCCCCAGATGGAGTCACATAAGCCCTACAGGTCTTCGTTTCTGCCGTGCTTGGGAATTGGCATATAATTCTGAGTGTCTGTCCTGCACCCACCCCCAGCATCTCTGTCCATCCTGCAGATATCTGTAGACTGACTTCTGTTACAAGGTTATCATGGGTGGCCTAGAAAGGAGACCCTTGGCTATTGCTTCTGTCCTTGACAAACTGGCAGCTACACCTGGTTCCCAGAGCAGTCGCACTTCTTACACCTTCACCTGACTCTGAATTCTTTGTCCTCAGAGCCTGTTTAGAGAAGCAGTTCCTGGGGTTCGTGCTGAAGGGGCCTTCTGTTCTGATCACATCTGCTCCTATAGGGCCGAGCATACACACATACACTAGCTGAGAAGGAAGGACCCAGTTCCTGAGACTGAGGAGGCTGCAGGTCTGTGATGGTGACCACAAAAGCAGGAGTTGCAGTGTATGTGGCCACAGGCCCTAAGACCCCCAGCCCTATGACCTCTGCTACAAGCTCTGCACATCTCTGGCTCTTCTAGAGAATATCTTAGCTTAGCTTGGGTGGAAAGCCACCAACTATGTTAGTACCTTCATTGGCATTTGAGTCAGGTGGCCAAGTAGTATTTGGTCCTCTTCAGGGAGCTGATCTCCACAAACCCCTTAATATCCCTCCTGAATAAGCACCTGCCTTTATTAAGTTTTTAGGAGGGACCAGTGAAGACCAGAAAGGCATAGAGAACAAGCTAAGCAGAATGTATCCACAAAGCCTGCATAGAAGCACAGGCCTGTGATCTTAGCACTCAGCAGGTAGATTGTGAGCTTGAGTCCAGCCTGGACTACATAATGAGACTGTCTCCAAAACTAAGTGCCCACAGACCCATAGTACAAGGTGGTTCTTGCTACGCTGTGTAGGGAAGAATGCAGCTACTCAGGTTATCAGGTTGCTGCCATGGACATGAAGAGGGTACCTCAATGCCCTGCATCTGTTCCGAGGGGTGGCTACTGACTCACCTTTCCCAGTACTGCCTCTGCCTTCATTTGCTGCGGTCTGCATGCCACTGAGGGACAAGTTCATATCAGAGTTGGGGTGTTGTCTCAGGAGCAGAGAGGACAACAGTGTTTTCCCAAGCCTGGGGAGGTGGAACTGTGACCACAAGCTCACTACAAGAGTTCAGCTTGGGTTGAGGTGGCTGTGAGCCAGGCTGTTTAGTTAGAGCTATTTGTTCCTTACTCGCCTTGGTCCCTGTGTCTTATTTGGTGTCTAGGAGACCCTAATACCTGCACAGTAGCTCCCATTCCATGTGCCATGAAGCTAAGACAATTCTCCAGGGACAGCCTCTGGAGCACAGCTGGATAAGATGACAGCTGTTCAAGTCTCCGAGATACCTTGGTGCTGTTGGGGCTCTACCCTGACCAGCACAGTAGCCTGCTTTTGTCAGGAGCCTAAGACAACCATAGCTCAGATCTAGAAGGCAGCTCCTCTGCTACTCTTATTCCCCTAACCCCCACATACTAGAGGCTTCCATGCCTCACAGACCAGTGTGCTAGAGCCTCTGCTGCCCATAGTGCTTCTGTCAGAATGCAGGCTAATAGCCCTCCCACCTCAGGCTACAACAGGTATGTACACTGTGACCACGCTCCTCCTTGATTGTGCCTGCTGGACCAGGGAGAACTCCCAGCTGTAGACAGAGGAGAATCTCCAAGGCCATCTATTAACAATCTTGTGGCCAAGGCCGATAGCTGGTAGGGATGCTGCGCTGGTCTCAAATGTACAGCATGTGATGGATGGACCATGTGCCCTGGGTCCTCCTTGCATTGGTCCTCCTGACCCTAGCAGTTGAGAACACACCTTTCAGCAGGAGTGGCTGCACAATTTCAGCTATGGAAATGAAGCAGTCCCCGCCCCCACAATCCCGGGAAGTGAAAGCCTGGGAGACTTAGCCTGTAAAAGCCAATGTTTCTGCCCACTGTCCAAGAGAAAGCCCTGTCCTTTAATCCTTAGCTCACACCAGTGGAGCAGTTGAAATCCAGACACTGGGTAGCTTGTTATCTGGGCTCACAAACACTGCTGTTTTGTGGTACAGGACTTGTGTGCAGTGGGACCTTGAGGTCTGACCACCCGAGCTTACTGGCTGAAAATAAAGCTGAGTGCTGTTGGCTCTCTGTGGACCTTTAGGGACAGTGTATCCCTGACCCTTTCTGTGACAGCCACATAGAAACTGGGGTTTAGGGATGGGCGAAGGTACATGACCAGCTCTCACACCTATAACCCGATCTCTCCAGGTACATACAGACGCTGAAGGACCACAAGCCCCGACTGGTATGGGACAACCAGGCTGCGGAACACTTCTTTGAGTACAAGAAGTGAGTGACTTGTGGCCAGCCATTTGTAGACAGGAAGCCTTGTGGGGAGGACATTGATGAGGGAGCAGTGGGGGATGGGAAACATTAAGGGGCCAGCACTGGTGACCTTAACCCTGGTGGTAGGAGACAGTAGCCCTCTGGCCTAGCCAGAAGGCAGGGTACATGGTCCCATTTCTCCTGCAGGAATCGCGGCGGGAGGCATGTTGTGTTCTACCCAACTCTGAAGGTATGTGCCATGTGCTTTGGCTGTCAACCGTAATGCTCTGTTGGGGGGTGACAGTTTTGGCCAGATGACATTAATGGTACCAGTACTTGCCATCTGCTTTGGAGGTCTGTCCTGTGGTCTTAGTGAGAATGATTCTGGGTACACTGTGGGGCTAGTGAGAAAGTGGGTGGAGCAGGTGCCTACACCTCTGTCTGCCCACAGTCTCTGCAGGTGCGGCTGGAGCTAGCCAGGGAGCTGGGCGTCGGGGTCTCCATCTGGGAGCTGGGCCAAGGCCTGGATTACTTCTATGACCTGCTGTAGGCTGGACAGCAACACCCAAGTGACTATGGACTTTTCTAAGCCATGAAGTGACTGATGAATATAGGCCTCTTCTCTGTTCTCCGTGAGACATCTGTCCTCAGCAGGGCCCACGTGAGTGAGTGATTCTTGGCCTGGGCTAAGAATTGGGGCTCCTCCTACTCACTGCTCATCGCTGCTTCCTGTGGGCCAGCTGAAAACAGTTCCCATTCCCCGGGGACAGTCTGGCTCAGGACTCAGGCCTCCCGGGTGCTTTGCAAGGCCTGTGTTGGATGTGAGTTTAGAAGATATAAACAATCAGACTCTTCTAGTCCTGGCAAAAACAGCTGTTCCTAACACACCCTAAAACCTGAAAAGGGCAGTGCAGAGGGCCTTGCCCTCACACTACAGTCACCTGCCTGCCACAGACCGGTATGTGTCCCCACTGAGCTTGGTGTGACCAGGTTGTGGGGCCATATTGGAAACTGGCCCATAACCCATAATCTACCAGATGGCACAGGGATAGGGTATGCCTAGGGGGCAGCAGTAGGACTTGTGGGCTGAGTGGGACCAGAGGGGTCTGTCACTTAGTGAACTGAGCCACTGCTGGGGAAATGTCTAAGAATCCTGGGGCTCCAACAGGTCAAGAGTAGCTGACTCTTATCACCTCACCCCTTTATTCCAAGTTCCTTAGTCCATCACTTGTGTCCGTGCCCCCTTCCCATCCCTGCTGGGTATGATCTTCAGGTACTGATCCCTGGTCCTACAGGCCCTTGGGGGAAGCCTTCTAATCCACTAGCCAAGGCCCAAGTCATGGAGGCCGGAAACGCTGACCAGAACTCCGCCCTGTGAATTTCTGATATGTAGCTCAGGATCCTGAGGGTTAGGAAAGAAGAAGACACTAAGGCAACAGGCCCAGGCCTAACTCATAAGAAATATGACCAACCCTGTGCCTCTTGGTGTTGTTTTGGAGTGGGTAAAGTCCTACCTAGCCATCAGTTGGGCTACCTACTGACTGTATCCTGCTGGACTAGAAGTGGATCCTGGCCACTCAGGTCAGTGTAGCCAGGGCTGAGAACTTGGGGTGCTGGATCAGGGGATCGTAAGGTAGACAGACTCTGCCAGCTGATACTTACAGAGTCCTTGGGGGCTGCCCTTACTTCCCCCCAGCTCTGAGAAAAAGACATAGCCAGACCAGGACAAGGTCAGTGTGAGGGGACAGAGGCATCTTGGCCTCCCGTTCTATAAGTGGTCGTCAGTGTGCTCATGTGCTATGTTGTGTTACAAGAGTAGTAGGAGTTGGGACTGGCTGGCCAGTGACTGGCTGGCCCTGGGTCTCTCCAGCCTTGACTCTGAGGGTTTAGTGGATGGGAATATCTGAATATAAGGAGTGAGCGACAGCCGGGCATGGTGGCACACACCTTTAATCCCAGTAGTCGGGAAGCAGATGCAGGCGGATCTCTGTGAGTTTGAGGCCACCCTAGTCTACAAAAACAAAGTGAGTGGCATGGAGCTTACCTGGTTGCAGGCAGAGCACTGGAGCCTGCTGTGAGCAGATGGAGTGACCAAGGTGGTAGAGGGACAAGGCAGTAGAGGTCAAAGTGCCACAGGCAAGGGTCCTGATTGGAATGGGGTGACGATAGCAAATGACAGGAGTAGATGGGAACTTAGGTGAGTTCTCTAGGGCTACAGAAAAGTGGGCAGCCCAGTTCGCTTCTCGGTTTCTTTTTCCTCATTGGTGCTGGAGACTGACCCCAGAGCCACTCAGGGGCAACCCCCCTAAGCAGTAAACTTCAGGTTCTGGGTTTGGGTCAGCAAAGTTGGGGTGCTGTTGAAGAACTGACCGACTGGTGGATAGAAATTCAGTCAGTAAGGGCAAAGCACTGTGGGCTGTTAGTGGCTATGGTGGTCTGGTGACCATGAGCCATCTCTGAGAGCTGCTCAGCTTGGGGATGGGAAAGGCATCCTGGGACCTGAGGGAAGCTCAAGAGGGCCAAGGCTTTAAGCAGAGTCAGCACACCATGTATTCTGAATGCAGCTTCCTCTGTTTAGCAACCTATAAGTAAAAGGGCCTTTTGCTAATTTAGCAACTTGTCTGGAGCAGCTGACTCCATAGTAATTCTGAGATTCTTCAGGTCCTATGGCTTCTACTAGAGAGAGGACAGAGGGAAGCAAGGATTCAGCCCAGTGCATGTCATTCTCAGGTGTGGGAGTCACAAGGATGACCCCTAATGAGAACTGTGTCGCAGAGTAGGCCTCTCGACAGCAGGATGTAGGGACTGGGAGTCAGGTGCCTCACCTGAGGGCCTAGGAGGAGGTCACCTAAACACCCAGGGTACTAGCCCTACAGCCAGAGGTCCTCACCTAGGGTTCTTCTTTACCCCCTGGTTAAGAAGACACAACTTTGATGCTTTAACTCTGGCCAGTAGCAAGGGCTCGTGTCACCTAGAGGTGCTGTTTGCAGTCTGTCTGCACAATCCAAGGGCAGAGTTCCTAGGACAGAGATACAGAGTGTCTGACATCCCAGGAGAGACAGGAATGGACAGAGGCCATCTCTTCCCCCAACCTGCAATGGCTCAGCAGTGCTCCCAACTCTGCTGACCCTTGGCTAATGAAAGAACTTCCTCAGTTGGAGGCTGTGGCTGTACAATTTTTGTGTGTCCAGCTAGACACAGGGGCTGCTTATACTTTATTAAGATGCACCTGGTCCTGCGCCACCATCATGGAATGTGAATCAATGGAACCTGGCCCTGCCTGGAGCACCAGGACCATTGTGGGCCTTGAGCAGACTGGGCCTGCCCCCAACCTGGCATCCATGCAAGGCTGGGGACCCTATCCTGTGCGAATACTGGAAGATATATGGACATAAAAAGTCAAAGTTCCCTGGGCTCTTAGCCCTAGGTGCCATGCTTGGCACCAACTTGGGTGACTGCAGCCACCCAAGCAGAGGCCCCCTTGGGTGCAGGGGTAGATCCTGGGTGCTTTGGCCTCAAGCTCTTCCCCCTGCATTCAGCAGAGCACCGAGTCCTGCATGGGAAGCGGGTTTGGACATCTCCCCATGGGTGGGGTCCTTTGGCAGAGAAGCAGAGGTGTGAGACCTATGCGCAGTAGGTGTCCGCCTTTACCACCTGGCAGTACATGGTCATGGCGAAGGTGAGGCCCAGGATCTGTGGAGACAAGAGGTCACAGGCCTTTGCCCATAGGCAGAAGGGCCTGGGCTTCCTGGGGTAGCCTGGTATTACCCCACTCCTGCAACTCATCCCCAGGGTAAGTTGTGGTTTGCACTTTAGGTCACATTCCTCTCCAACCTGGCCTGAGCCAGGCCATCTCCCTTACTGTACCACTTGTTCTAGCTGGAACCAACTGGTATCTGTTTGCCAGATGAATTTTGGCTGCCCTGTAAGTCTGTCCCACTTAGCCTGGAGCATCACACTGCCAACTCTCAGCACTTCTATGGATGGCTGTGAACCCAGGAGAGCAGGGCCTGGAAGCAGTAGGGTCTCAAGTGCCACCCTCATTCTGCATTGAGAAGTCCTGTCACTCCCAACCAGTATAGCTGCCTGGCTGTGTTGACCCACTAGGTGACAGCAGACTGCACAGGAAGGGAGCACTGGGCAGCACTTAGTCCTTGAGAAACTAAAGGTCAGCTCCCCTAGTGAACTTCCTCTGAGGCACTGTTACCTCCCTGCCCAGGTCACAGGCTCCTGAGGGTAAATCCTCTGCCACTGTGCTCCCTGGTCAAGATTCCCAGGCCCTGCCCTTCCCTGCTCACCTGCACCAGCGCCGTGCACAGTCCAAAGATGCCCACAGCTAGCAGGTTCTCCTGGAGCCAGGCCTTCACTGTCTCATAACAGGGCTGCAGGAGAGCCAGGATCAGCTGGGGAAACCCCACCTCTGCAGCCACCCAAAAGAGGAGGGAAAAGCCCTTACCGATTTCCACCAGGTACCAGGTGCGTGTAACCCACAGCTGTCACTGAACTCCAGACAGCAGGAGTCAGGCACACGAGTGGCGTTGTATACCTCAAACCAATCAGTGTAATTGGAGACTCCACAGCAACGGAACTAGGAGCAGGAGGAAAGCAAAGGACTGGTGGGGAGGCAGCCACAACACCCACCCCTGCTAGCCTGTCCCGCCATACCAAGAAGGCTGCCCAAGCCTCACATCAGTCTGGATGATGCTCCAGGCGTTGGTGAGGCCCACATTGCCCTGTGTGCCATACAGATGCAGGCCCTTCTTCAGGTCTTGCTGGGCATAACTGTCGATCTGTTAACAGGCCATCAGTGAATACCCTCCACGACGGACACCATCCGTCAGTAATACCACATGCCCCTCCCACCTGAACCCCTTGCCTGTTTCCTGGGACTACCCACTACCCTACCACCTGATCACACCCAGGTTCTTGTCCTCCCAGAACTGCAAGGACCCTGGTGCAGGCCTTTGTCCTCTCATCTCTGTAGGCTTCCTCTTGTTGGCTAAGGGAGGACTACAGTCTACTTGCTAGTACAATCAGGCGTGTCTGCTCTACCGCTGAGGGGATGGGCATCATTCCTAGGTCCCAGTAAAGGAGCTAGGGCACTGAAGAAGGCAACTCCCAGCCTGTACATGGAGCTTCCTGCAGTCCTTTACAGAAAGTCAGGGACACAAGAGCTTGGAACATAGTGCTAGCTATAACTCAAGATCCCAGATTTTCAGTAAACCCATTAAACAGACAGATAGGTAAGGGAAACAACACATGGCACACGTAAGCTGCAGTTGCAGGTTGGGGTGGCTGGGACAGTGTACACTTAGCAGCCTGCACTCACAAGAGGAGTTAAGAGTGTTGTTGTGCCACCCATACAACCAGAGCCACAGACAGATCCCTGGGTACTGTGTCTACACTGACTTTCCCAGCACCCCGTGTACTGTCCATTCCCAGCAACATACCTTGTCACTGTAGGCAAAGAAGAGCACAGCAATGATGGCTTCCAGCAGGAACACCAGCAGCAGCAGCACAAAGAACTGTAGAGAGGATGTCCTTAGTCACATCCTGCTCCTGGAGAGCCCTATGCATGATCTAAACATCCCCATGTGGGTATATGTCCCTGTTTCCCGGGCTCCTGGCCTGACACCTGTTTGGGTCTCCCTCTACACACTCCCCTTCCCAGGATATGTTAGGCAAGTACTCTACTGCTGGGCTCCATTCCCAGTGGTGGCGCACACCTTTAATCTCAGCACTCAGGAGGCAGAAGCAGGTGGATCTCTGTGAGTTAGAACCCAGCCTGGTCTACAGGAGCTAATTTCAGGACAGCTAAGGCTGTAACACAGAGAAACCCTGTCTCAACCAAAAAATGAAAATAAAAGAGATCCCAAGCATCACCTATTAGCGGCCTGTAAACATTCTGCAGTACCCCCCTTAGGGGCGGGAGAGGGAATAGATTGTCTCTACAAGAGATGGAGGCCCTGAGCAAAACCCTCCCCAGGTAGAGGAAAGGAACCATTCAAAGCCTCTTGACATGGAGCTTCAGTACACTGTCCTGCTGCTCGAGGCCTGTCGGGAACATTAATTGTAAGAGCCTCTAGGAGCCCTTTCCTAATTACCTGTGATTAACTTTATAAACTGTGGAGGAGGAAATAGCTTCCTTGCCATAAATATATTGCCAAGGCCAAATGGTGCTGTGAGATTTCCAGAGGATAGGGCCAGGGGCAAGTTGGGGTCACCACAAGGATGAGTCTCAGAACAGTCCGGTTAAGGCCACATGTAGGCACGCCTAAGTTCTTGGGTCTATGCCTTGTCCCTCCAAGCTGTGATATGCTTTTTTCTATGTGTGGTACTGGGACTCAAACCTAGAACCTCATGCGTATCATGCAAGCATTCTTCTAGACTAGTGTGTGTCCCCCCCCCCCTTTAAACTTTATTTAAGTCAGGGTCTTACTCTGGACTCCAGACTAGCCTGGACCTCATGATTGTCCAGCCTCAGCCCCCGACCCCAGCTATAATGTATTCTCTTGAGCAACCCCTCTGGTGCTGGACAGGCCCCTGAAGTGAAGCTGATGGCACCGAGAGCCACAAAGGGGCCCAACACACTCACAGTGAGCAGTAGGCACTTGTTCTCCTTGAGGGCCCCAATGCAGCCCACGAAGCCGATGGCCATGACGAAGGTACCAGTGACGATGAGCAGATTGGCAGCCGACAAGGATGGGAATGAGGATGATAGGGTGGCAAAGTTTCCCTGTGTGGCAGCCAACCAGATGCCAACGCCCAGGACACCACAGCCACCCAGCTAGGACCGCGGCAATACAGAAAAAGAGAGAGAAAAAGGGTGAGGTGACTGGCAGGGCTCCACCCACAAGCTCAGGCCAACATTGCCAGCCTGGGAACCACTGGAAACATCTTAATTCCTGTGGCACGGCACCACGCCTCAAGTCCCTTCCCTTCCCCGCAGTGACAGTGGCCTGTGACAGAGTACACCTCCTCATACAGCCCCAGTGAGACTGTGCCTTCAGATTCCCTGCACGACGCATCCACCGACCCAGTGCCTGGCCAGAAGGGACTGAATCTCCTTGGGCCCTCTGATTCTGCAACCTTCCTTCCCTACACCCTATAGAGGCCATGGCAGTTGAGCGGCCCACTCAGCCATGTGGCCCCCTTGCCCTGGGCTACTCATAACCCTGGCTCGGCACACTTCCCGCTCATAATCCAACTGCAGTAGCTCTCTGTACCAACCAGAAGGCCTCACCAGAGCACCCGCTACTGCCCAGTCATCCACCCCTCTCCGAGCCTCCCGGAGCTTCATCACTTTTTTCATTTTTATTTTGACACAGGATTTCTCTGTGCAATCCTAGCTTCCTGGAACTCAGAGATCCACTTGCTTCTGCCTCCCAAGTGCCGGGATTAAAGGTGCATTCCACCCACCGGACTCTTGTCACTCATTTTTATAAAAATCCAAATAAGAGAAAGCAGGGAAGAAAGGCATATGGTGGCTGACTCTACAGAGGGCTCATCATGGCATGGTGACAGGGACATCTAGTCTCTCAGCATATGGGGCTGCCATGGTGGTAGGGGAGCTACAGCTCCACCACACCTGAGGCCTTGGACTCTGTGTCATTTGGAGAGAAGATGTATTCCTGGAGGCTAGGAATGGACCGCCAGCTGACGGGCTCTGGGAAAAGGCCTCGCAGCCCAACAAAGAACTGGACAGGGCATGGCACAGGAGCCCATGATGTGGGCTCTGACCCAAGGTTCTCAGTTCCAGGTAGCTCCTGGAGACACTACTATGGAGTCAGCAGGAAGCAAAGGGACCTGGGAAAGCTGGCCATATGGGAAGCTCTGCATCCAGAAGGATCAGGAAACCTGCCTTGGGGGAGGTGGGGTACATATGCCTTGGGTGACATCTCACAGCCACAAGGGAGCTCTGGCAAGCCAGTCTACAGAGATGCCTCCTTTACGGTTGGGACCTCTGCAGGACTGCCAGTGGTTGAGAGGTGGTGTTGTCTACAGTGTTGATCAAGTAAAGCAGCTGGATGGGCCAGGCATCCCCATTCAACATGTGAGAAGTGTCCCTAATGGAGATCTTGCCATGTGATGGTCACCAAATCAATCACCCAACCACAAGGCACAATATCATTCTACAAACACACAAAGCTGCGAGATCTGGAAGGCTTCTCCAGGGCCATAGCAAACAAGGTCTCTCCTGTCTCCATGGGTTTGTCCCATGACCTTCAGAAGGTCCCAAGCATCATGAGGTCTTCCAGGACCCAGTAGTGTGTCTCACAGGTTATGGAAAGACCTCCAGGGCCCCACACTGCTAAGCAGAAGTTAATACCCTACCTGTTGCCTTGGACTGGATCAGAATTACCAAAGCTATAAAGTTGTAAGAGCAGGACACCCCTTGCTCACTCTACATTGTACCTGCCCTAGAAGAGCTGCAAGTCAAAAGTAGTAAGAGGCCTCAAGAGACACCAACCCATAGGGCTGACCTCAAGCATAACACTGCCCCAGAGGAGCCACGACCCTTCATGAGGCTGAGCACTCATGATGGCAGGTCCTTGAGCAGGGGGGAGGGGAGATGCTGGTAAAACACAAGTGTCATTAAGACCCAAGCTGTCTGCACCATCCGCCTCTGCCTTCCAAAGACAGCAGACGGCTCGTGTCAGCAGGAAAGTGAGCTGTTGGAGTGCCCCTGCCCCACGGGACCGAGAAGGGCATAGGAAGGACACCGCTGTGCAAAGCAGCTAGCACCACTGGGGGTGGGGGAGATGCCCCATTCCAGGAGGCCAGGATGGGGCAATCTCCAAGAGTGGAATGGCAAGAACCCCGAACCCCACACCCAGAAGAGACATGCTTCCCTCCACCCAGAGACAGCAGGAAAAAATCTCCATTAACTGCTACATAGCCTGTCACCCTCGCTGAGAAAAAGACAAACAGCAACCCAGATGCCCCTCACTGCCACCCAGAGATGTCACATGCATTGTCACATATGAGCAGCACACGCAGAGCCACCACCATTTCATGGGCCACCCCTTTCACAGCCCGAGCCAATGCCACATGCAAGGGTGCACTAATGAAAACGTGTGTGTGCTAAGAGTACTGTACCTGTAATTTAAAAATGTTTTAGTGCACGCAGATTGTAAAACATTTTGGCAGGAAAATTACAGCTTCAAAGATCAAAAGAAAAAGGACCTGTGAGACTCTCAGAAGATAAGAAAAGCAGGATTAGGGCTGAGCCCTGGGGGCCTGGAGCAAGGTCTCTCCTGAATCAAAACTGGGGATGGAGCTAAAACCCCTACTCTGAATCCACAATGTTCCCCCAGTTTCCTGAGCCCCACTTCTAAGGCAGACCACCTCCTATTGCTGGCTCACTCCTCTGCAGCTGTACCGCCAGACTATAGAGGAGCCCTGGTGGGAGGCAAAGCTCAATCCCCACAGCAATCTAGAGAAGCCAGGGTCCTGAAGGGATAGTAGCTGGGAACAACACCCAGGGGCAGGACCTCCTGCCACCATGGTCCTGCATCCTAACCTGGCTCATCTTCATGCAGCGTGCCTGGCCCCAAGCACAGCGTATCTCAGCCACCTGCTAGGCACTCTATGATGCCTGTGGCAGTCCGAGAGGTGTAATGAGCTGTTACCCAGGTACCACCCAAACCTGTGCACAGCAGTTACCTTAGCCTCCAGCCCCTCGGATGAGCTTCAGGCTGAGTGCCACATGGCACTGGGTGCCCACCAAATGTGCCTGTCCAGATCCAGAGAGGAGAGTGCTAACAAGTCTCTGCCCACCACCCCTCCAGCCATATAACTCAATGTGGCAGATGGCCGGGCAGCTAGCCACATCTTTGGTGGAGGTGGAAGGGCTGGGCCCCCTGTATAAACCAAGGCTATGTCCAAAATCCCCTCTCCTGCAGGCTGGCAGGAACCTTCTCCATCTTGGCTAGGACGTTAGTTATCCCAGTGGAGTGAGTTTGTGCACTTAAAATTGAATGCACGCCTGGGGATGTACCTGAGTTAGCAGAGTGCCAAGTGTGCACCGGGTTAGATACCCAGCACCACATAAACCATGTGTAGTAGCACACGCCAGTATTCCTGGCACTTTAAAGGTAGAAGCAGCAAGGTCAGGAGTTCAGTGTCATCATAAGTAAGGAAAGATTGGACTAAGTGAGACAGACTGTCTCAAAATACTTTAAAAACATAACTTTGTTTCTTCCAACTCAGGACATTGCTGGAGCCACCAACATACCAAAGCACAGACTAGTCTGTGACTTTTTGTATGGGCAGTTCCCTGCCACCCACACATCACAAATACAGGCTGTTACAGGAAGCAGAGAGGTCCCCCAGTCCTGGTCCTCTCACCCACCAGACTAAAAGTGCCAGCGGCCAACACCAGGACAACTGTTCATCAGATACCACCTCAGCTCATCATGGCAATAGATGACCAAGGGCCTAGCAAGGCATGTGCCCTGCAACTTGATGCCAGTGGGGGCAGATCCCTGTGCCTGGCAGGACTTTCCTTGGGGACTGCATAAGACAGGTACTGAGGCTGTAATGGTGACAGCCCAGGCAGAGCAGGGCCAGGGTGGGGCTCCAGTACCCTCCCTTAAGGAAAGGAAAGTGGAGCTTGACTCCTATGCCTCCTCCAGCTCAGGTCATTACAGGCCACCTGGGTGGGAGCTGGGGGACCCTGATCCACACACCTTTGGGTCACTTTGCATGATCAAGATGGAGAATCTGAAATGCCAAGAATACAGGATTTTCACCAGGCGGTGGTGGCGCACGCCTTTAATCCCAGCACTCGGGAGGCAGAGGCAGGTGGGTCTCAGTGAATGCGAGGCCAACCTGGTCTACAGAGCAAGTTCCAGGACAGCTAGGGCTGTTCACAGAGAAACCCTGTCCTAAAAAAGCAAACAAATACAGGATCTTCTCGGGTCACAGAGTGTGTGGGTAGCAGGCATGACTCTAACCTCCATCTTGTCTGCCCAAACAGACACTGACCATACCATGCAGGGGACAGCTGTACCTTGTGCTAAACTAAGGACTGGGGAGGGTCACCTGCCTGGAAGCCCTACAGGAAGGACATCCAACTGGTCAATGCATGTATGGGAGGAGCCAACCACACGGCCAAGGCCTGGCCAGCAGCGTCTCTGGCACCTGGATACAGAAGAGCCATGGATACGCCCTGGCCTTGCTGAGGAGCTCAGCCCCATTCAGACTAGCCCTTACACCACAGTAGCTGCCCAGGAAGGTGGATGGGTCCCTGAGCCCAGGGCAGGGGAGGGGAGGGCAGACAGGAAGAACCAGGCTTCACTGACTCCCTTTGATCCCCGGGGACCTCAACTTCCATTATAGGAAGAGCTTCGCTGGCAGAGGCCCAGCTGACAGTGCAGCCTTGGAGGCTTGAGACGGGGGTCCCAGGGGCTGCTCAGCCCCACTCCCTTACCGCCAGTGGCCAGCACCCAACACCACCTACCCACTCAACTGTGTTCAAGGGCCGTGTACTTAGCCCACTTCCCCGAGGCACCCCCAACCCCCAACCAGCTAGTCCTTGCCCTGTGTGCATCTCAAAAGCAGGTTAGCCAAGTGCTCAGTAGAGTTGAGCATCACTGGCCAGCGAGAGCCTATCTGCTGAAGGAGGGAATGGGCGTCTCAGGTCCCCACACAGGTCTAGGGGTCAGTGCAACCCTAGTTGCCTGTTTAACCCTGTTGGAGAAACTGAGGCAGGACACATAGCAGAGGCTGGGGTCCTGTCTGCTGGGTCATACATTTTAGGTGGCAAGTGGGAGTCAAAGCCTCTCTTGCAAGAGTCATCAGGGGCTCCCACCCACAGCCTGTTACCAGCAGGAAGGGGATTGAGTTCACAGATACCAGGGACAATGTGGACTGACATCATACTGACCAGGCCAGATGGACGGACTCTCACACTTGCTAGCCCAGATGGACTCTGCCAAGCCCAGCACAGGTACGTCTAGGCAAAGCCATGCTGTTCACAGCACCTTCTAACCCCTCACTGGGAAGCAAGCTGGAGGGAAAAGCCATGATGGTGCTGAGGCACGCATGCCTGTCTGCAAGGCTGAAGGTACATGTGGGTAAGAGGAGGGAACTGGGTTTCTCAGCACAGGAATTGTGCCGGGAAGGGTTCTGATCGTTTATTTCTCTGGGAGAGGATGTTATCCACTGGTCAGTGGAATGTGCCTGCTCAGTAGCAGCCTCGGCCTCCCCAAACCAACACTACCCCACTGCTACCCAGCCCCACACTCTTGTTTCCTAACCCTCCTTCTGCACCTCCGCTGCCTACTGCCATCATAGTGACCTACAGCTGTCAGGTCTGGTCACAGTGCTACACCCATCCACTTGTCACTTTGTCATCTGCAGTTCTTGAGCCTTGTCTACCTGTCATACTGTTGCCTACAGTCACCCCCTCCCCATTGTCATAGTGTCAGAGATACCCTGGTGCCCACTGAAGTCCCTCAAACAGAAGCATTGCCCTTACACAGGCTGCTTACAGCTTCAGCCCATACCTACTGCTTATACCCACCTGCTACGTGCGTACTTCCAGACCTGGCCCGTCCCTTAGGAGCCTCTGGCAGAGACCTCTTGATGGGGCTGGGGGAAGATGGGATAGGTGGGGCAGCAACCTCCCTGGACTATTGCCCATAGGCAGCCCAGAGTCCCAGCAAATCCCAGCTCCATAAGAAAAGGGAGGTCAGGAAGGTGGACCTAGGTTTCTGCACGTTTGACTTGAACTGGACTGCATGCAAATGAGCAGCAAGTGGAGATCCCAGTGATGCCCCTTATCCTCCCACTCCCACACTCCCTTGCTCCCAACCACACCCCTCAACCTCAGTCACACCCACTCTCAGAAAGTTGGCTCAGGAACCAAGGTAGAGTATGGAATGACCTTGGGTACCATTCTCCAAGCTTCCTAGCTAGTAAGTGAAGCGCCAGGCTATGCCCAGGTATTAAAGGGTCACCTCTAATCAAATCCAGCATCCTCCGCTCAGGCTCCAGGCTCAGCCAAGCCCCAACACCAGGTGGTAATCAGATGTGACACTTACTGTGGAGTAGGGAGTGAGGGTGTGCAAACTGTCCTCTATCCAGACTGGAGGGGGCCATCTCCTGCTCTACCATAATGCAAGCCCCAACTGAACGTTACCCAGTGTCTGAGCAACCTCAGCATACCCCAGCAAAAGTTGGAGTCTCTGCTGATATGGCAGGGAGCCAGATGCCACCCATGTCCGTGAAGAGTACGTGGCCAGTGTCTGTGATACGTTCCTAGACCCTAATCGGTCGGGCAGTACACATACCCTTGAAATTCTGGATCCAGGGGTACCAGTTGGGGACCAGGACCTGGTGGGTCAATCTCCCAGAGGGGCAGTGTGTGAAAGGGGCGAGGGAAGGACGTAGGCTAAAGAGGAAAGACAGGGAGGAGGCTGAGGAAGGCACCCATGGCTCAGTGGCACAGAAACGGTGATCTGTTCTACGCCTGGAGTCCAGGAGAGGCAAGGCTGGGTACCAACCGGTCCTGTGAGCACGTGCGCACACACCCTGTCTCCACAGCAGAGAAGAGAGGAGAGGGCTTCTGGCAGCCACTTACTGTAAAGCAGCAAACCCCGGTCCTTCAGACCCCCTCACTCACCCAGAAGAGTAGGTTGAAGGCGAACATGAGGTACTTGACGCCCTGGAGGCAGCCGCGCGCCATGCTGCAGCGCTTCAGCTCTAGAAGGAAGATGAAGGAGAGGTCTAGGTAGAAGACCACATACTTGTTGCCCTTGGGAGTCGTATAGCGCGCCTGGGCCGCCTTGGGGCCGGGGTTCGTGTGCAGGCCAAAGAAGCCGCCGCCCGCATCCCCGGCGTCCCCGGTGCCCGCGCGCCCGTACAAGCTGCTGCAGCGCCTAAAGGGGCCGCTGCGCGCGAAGCCCGGCTCCTTGCTCTCCGGAGAAGGGCTGCGCCGGTATGTGGACTCATCAGTGCTGGAACGGCGCATCGCGCTGGGGAGCCTGGGCCCCCGCCGCCAGGCTCACTGGCTGCGGCCGTTGTCAGCGATCCGCGCCCGCTGTCCCCGGACACCCCATCCGCACCACACCGGCGGGCTCCCACCCCTCCCGGGTCCGCGGTAGCGGTAGCAGCGGGCGCGCAGCTTGGCTCCCACCCCTCGGCCAGACACCTGCGGGCCGGCCCGCTGCGCCCCTAGCGCACCCGGCCAATCCAGCGCGGCCCCGCCCCTCGAGGACCCCGCCCCACCGGCCAATCGCAGCGACCCCGAGCTCCCCCCTCCTTGTCACCCTCCCGGGGTCTCCGAGGAAGATGCAGCTGAAGGACAGGGGGAGCGTTTGAGGAGGCTGGGCCGGGAATGAGATCGCAGCAGTTCTCGGCCCCGAACCTACACCCCAGACCACCCCCAATAGGCCCGCCGCCCATTCTGCAGCAGTTCTCCAACCATAAGAAGGATTTGCAAAGCCCCGAGCAAATCAAGGGGTGACCCAATTGCTGTTGGTGGCAATTGGACGGCTCTAGCTTTCAAGAGCCTTAGGGAGCCCGTGGTGCCTGGGAGGGTGCGGTGTCCATGAGATTTCCTAACTTAAAAAGAGAATTCAAGAACCAAAGTAGCAGAGGAGAGACGCCAAGGAACCCCAGAGGGCCCCCTGCTGGCCCAGAGTGCTCACTGAATCAGCTCAGCCTCTGGTCCAGCCCATTCTCCTAGGGGGGTAGTAGGAGCAAAGCCAGATTCCATTGGAACCATGTGCCATTCTGAGAGTCCCACTGGTGCCGTTCTATAACTGCATAACCAGGGACCTGGCGTCTCAGTCTGGCCAGCTCAGGGAGAATCAGCCCATGACTAATTAACACCATCCCAGGCAGACAAGCACATGGTAACTGGCACCAATGTCCCTTGCAGGTGTGCCCAGATACACACTAGCCCATCAAAGAAAGATGGAGAGATGATGGCCCCTTGCTGGGTCCCATCCTCCAATCTCTGAGCTCCAACCCAACCAAAAGATGCAGATTACAAGAGCCCCAAAGTGTGGGCCAGGTACTAAACATGGGGGCAAGGTTCCCCATCTCATCTGCAGCGCAGAGGACAGGAGGGAAAGCAGAACAAGGAAACCTTTTTGCTGAAGGTCTCTGAGTGAGGGAACAGAAGAGGGAACGGGAAGAAGTAGGAAAAGAGAAAAACAAAGGATGTCCATGGGCAGCTCTTAAAGGGGCTGCGTCTTAGTGGAAACCTCAGGTGCCTAAGTGAGGTCTGCAGCTCCCAGCCCAGAACTTAGGCTCTCTGCACCAGCCTACTGCTGCCCCTGAGAGGTCACAATGGGGAACTGCAACCCCAGCCCGCAAGGCTGCATGCTCAGGATCCCAGTTCTTGGGATGTGTGAGTCCAGGGGAGCCCCAGAATGCCGGATGTGTGCCTGGAAGTGCCTGCTCAACCTGGGGTTAACCTCAGCCCTCTACCTTTCAATTCCTCTTAAGTTATCTTTGATGTCTGAACTCCAGGAAAGGGACAGAGCTGGGTGGGACCTCACCCACAGACCACCAAAGACCACACACAGCCTGCAGGCTCTGCCTAGAGAGCAGGAGGCAGCTGGTGTCTCCTAAAAACCCCGTGGCCCCTGGCCCTCTTCCCTTGGCTTGATTCAGTCAGATACACACCAGTCGGGGTTGGGGGGGTGCCTATATAATACATGCAGGAGGCCATACACACACACACACACACACACACACACAAATATCTAGACACCAGTGGAGAGTGGTGGAGCCACAGGGGCCAGGAAAGATCCAAAACTGACCAGAAAAAGCTATACCCCCACCTCTGACCAAACCATCATCCATCCTGACATCACCCAAATGGGATCAGCGACCAGACCACTCCTCTGAAGGAGAGCCTGAAGCCCTGGGTCAGAAACACAGCTGAGCTCCCAGCAGTCTATAAATTTATAAGCTGACTGTCTACTTGGCCATCTTTATCCCCTGGATCTGGGGCTGGCGTTGCAATTCCCCATGGCACACCATGGGAGCATCAGCTAGGGCCGCGAGGAGAGCAGGAGGCAGAATTGCAGCCTGAGGGATATATGCAAGAGAATCCAAGTGCGGCCGTCCTCGACCCCAGTTCTCTTCCCCAGGGGTAGCTGTGCTGATTAGTTTTTTGTCAACTTGACACCAGCTAAAGTTACCTGAGAAGAGGGAACCTCCACGGAGAAAATGCCTCCATCAGACTGGCCTTTAAACTGGGTATGGTGGCTCATTCCTTTAATCCCAACACTCAGGAAGCAGAGGCAGGGGGATCTTGGTAAATTCAAGGCGAATCTGGTCTACACAGCAAGCTCCAGGACAGCTAGGGATATCTAGAGAGAACTTACTTATTTCAAAACTAAAAAAGCTGGGCGGTGGTGGCACGCGCTTTTAATCCCAACACTTGGGAGGCAGAGGCTGGAGAATCTCTGTGAGTTTGAGGCCAGCCTGGTCTACAAGATCTAGTTCCAGAAAGATTCAACGCAATGCCCATCAAAATCCCAGCAAAATTCCTCAAAGACCTCTAAAGAACGGTACTCAACTTCATATGGAAAAGCAAAAAATAAAAATAAAAACAGAATAGCCAAAACAATCCTGTACAATAAAAGAACTTCTGGAGGCATGACAATCCCTGACTTCAAACTCTACTACAGAGCTACAGTACTGAAAACAGCCTGGTATTGGCATAAGAACAGACAGGACCAATGGAACTGAATAGAAGACCCAGATATCAATCCACACATCTTCGAATACCTGATCTTTGATAAAGAAGCAAAAACTGTCAAATGGAAAAAAGAAAACACATTTAACAAGTGGTGCTGGCATAACTGGATATCAACATGTAGAAGAATGAAAATAGACCCATATCTATCACCATGCACAAAACTCAAGTCCAAATGGATCAAAGACCTCAACATAAACCCAGCCACACTGAACCTTATAGAAGAGAAAGTGGGAAGTACACTTGAACACATTGGCACAGGGAACCACTTCCTAAATTTAACCCCAGCAGCACAGACACAGAGAAACAATTAATAAATGGGACCTCCCGAAACTGAAAAGCTTCTGTAAAGCAAAGGACACGGTCAACAAGACAAAATGACAGCCTACAGAATGGGAAAAGATCTTCACTAACCCCACATCAGACAGAAATCTGATCTCCAAAATATACAAAGAATTCAAGAAATTGGACACCAAAAGATCACATAATCCAATATAGAAATGGAGTACAGACCTAAACAGAGAACTCTCAACAGAGGAATCTAAAATGGCTACACTTAAGGAAATGTTCAACATCCTTAGTCATCAGAGAAATGCAAATCAAAACAACTCTGAGATTCCATCTTCCACCTGAAAGAATGGCCAAAATTAAAAACACTAATGACAACTTATGCTGGAGAGGTAGTGGGGTAAAGAAAACACTTCTGCATTGCCGGTGGGACTGTAAGCTGGTACAACTTTGGATGTCAGTGTGGCGATTTCTCAGAAAATTAGGAAACAACCTTCCTCAAGACCCAGTAATACCACTTTTGGGTATATATCCAAAGGATGCTCAATTGTGCCACAAGGACACGCGCTCAACTATGTTCATAGCAGCTTTGTTTGTCATAGCCAGAACGTGGAAACAACCTAAATGCCCCTTGACCAAAGAATGGATAAGGAAAATATGGTACAGCTGGGCGGTGGTGGCACACGCCTTTAATCCCAGCACTCAGGAGGCAGAGGCAGGCGGATCTCTGTGAATTCGAGACCAGCCTGGTCTACAAGAGCTAGATCCAGGACAGGCTCCTAAGCTATAAAGAAACCCTGTCTGGGGGGGGGGGGGAGATACATTTACACAATGGAGTACCACACAGCAGAAAAAAATAACGACATTTTGAATTTTGCATGAAAATGGATGGAGCTAGAAAACATTATTTTGAGTGAGGTAACCCAGACATAGAAAGACAATTATCACATGTACTTACCCATAGGTGGTTTTTAAACATAAAGCAAAGAAAGCCACCCTACAAACCACAATCCCAGAGAACTTAGACAACAATGAGGACACTAAGAGAGACTTACAGAGATCTAATCTACATGGGAAGTAAAAAGTAGAAAAAGACAAGATCTCCTGAGTAAATTGGGAGCATGGGGACCTTGGGGGAGGATTGAAGCGGGGAGGGGAGAGGCAGGGAGGGGAGCAGAGAAAAATGTAGAGCTCAATAAATATCAATTAAAAAAAAAAGAGCTAGTTCCAGGACAGCCAGTGCTGTTAGTTACACAGAGAAACCCTGTCTCAAACAAAACAAAACACTAGCTCTTGAGAACCTAGGTTCGATTCCAAACACCCTCATAGCAGCTTACAATCCTCTATAACTCCAATTCCAGGGGATCTGATGCCCTCTTCTGGCCCCTGTGGGCACCGGGCACTCACGTGGTATACAGGTATACATGCAGGCACACACCTATATACATAAAATCTTCTGCAGGGCATTTTCTTGATTAACAATGAAGGTGAAAGGAGCCAGTCGCCTTGTGGGTGGTGTTACCCTAAGCCCATGGTTCTGGGGTGTATAAGAAAGCAAACTGTGAGTTTGAGGCCAGCCTGGTCTACAGAGCAAGTTCTGGGGCTGTTACACAGAGAAACTGTTTCGAAAAACAAAACAACAAAAAACAAAGAAAACAGCAAGCTAAGTGAGCCATGAAGAGCAAGTCAGTAAGCGTCATTCCTCCTTGGTCTCTCTCTCCCAGCACTCGGGAGGCAGAGGCAGGCGGACCTCTGTGAGTTTGAGGCCAGCATAGTCTACAGAATGAGTTCCAGGACAACCAGGGCTACATAGAGAAACCCTGTCTCGAGAAACAAAAAGAGAAGAAAGAGGAAGAGAGAGAAGAAAGTAACTAGCACAGCCGAAACTGGAAGGGGAAAAGAAGGGCTCCCCAAGAGGTGCCAAAGGTTCTTGGGACAAAGGAGAGCCATTTTGGTTTCTGCACTGAGCCCAGCGTTTGCACACTGTCCTCTGAACCATGTGCCACTCTCCTGTTTAGAAGG